TGTGGTGGCATTAAACCCAGAAATCTCACAGCTGGGGACCTGTGGTGTGGGAAGGGGGAGGCTGAAGCTCTGTTATTCCCCTATTTATTTGGTGAAGCTATGAGTGCTTTGGGAGCTCTGGGCTGGAAAACGGACACATCCATCACATCTTTGATTAACTCCAGTGAAGGGAAAGGGCTGATACCTCCAGGTGTTTCTTGTAGTGAGGTAAGTGCAAGCTTTCCAGCTGTTGGTTGAGCCTGGCACACCGAATTCTTAGCTGTGGTTGGCCAAATTTCTGCCAGCTGATACATAGAAATCTGGTCAGCTGCAGGTGAGAGCTCTTCCCTTGGGATATTGGGGAGCTCACACAGCACTTGTAGCTTTATCCAAAAAGAAATGTAACATTCTCCATCTTTTTCTTCATTAGTCTGATATTTAAAGTGTATTTTAGAGAGTCAAACTATAGAGAGAATTGGATGTTGAAAGCTCTTTGAGGCTGAGGGGAGATTCTCTTTCCTACACTTTATAAGCAAGAAATCCTAAGGTTTTAATTTGTTCAGGTTATTAAATTTATGTGCAGTCCTTGGTGTGGTTTTGGGCTTGCTGTGAGCTTCTGCTCTGCAAAATATTTTGGATAAGTCACAACACTGCTCAGTGTACCGCTAATGTGGGTTTGTTACATTAAAATAAGGCTTAAACTTAGAAAAACACAAAGTTTAAGAGCTCCAGCCATGAGACAATGTGAAGGAAGTGACTAAAGGGCCAGTCCTGTTTTACATCTTTATCACTGATCTGGATGAGGGGATCGAGTGCTCCCTCAGCAAGTTTGCAGATGACACCAAGTTGGGAGGCAGTGTTGATCTGCCTGAGGGTAGGAAGGATCTGCAGAGGGACCTGGATGGGCTGAATCCATGGGCTGAGGCCAATTGGATGAGCTTCAACAAGGCCAAGTGCCGGGTCCTGCACTTTGGACACATTAACCCCATGGATGCTACAGGCTTGGGGACGAGTGGCTGGAAAGGACCTGGGGGTGTTGGTGGACAGCAGGATGACCATGAGCCAGCAATGTGCCCTTGAGCCAAGAAGGCCAACGCCATCCTGGGGTGGATGAGAAGGGGTGGTTGTAGGGCAGAGAGGTTCTCCTGCCCCTCTGCTCTGCCCTGCTCAGACCACATCTGCAATATTGTGTTCAGTTCTGGGCCCTCAGTTCAAGAAGGACAGGAACTGCTTGAAAGAGTCCAGCAGAGCCACAAAGATGCTGGAGGGAGTGGAGCATCTCCCTTATGAAGAGCGGCTGAGGGAGCTGGGGCTCTTGAGCTTGGAGCAGAGGAGACTGAGGGGTGACCTCATTCATGGGGATCAAAGTCTCATCCAGTCCAACCCCTGCCAGAGCAGG